AATAATAAATTGGTCACTCAATTCATGACTGTTTGTGTACAATTGGCTGCCGCATTTTGCCCACAAAATATACAGGCAATTCACTTTTACAGTATATTATGTGAAGCTCTTTGAGACGTCTCGAAAACGTGATAAGGCACTAACTATTTCAGTTTGCCGTTCAGCATATGCATTGGTGACAGCCTGGCTCGATTGGTAGCTCTTGTCAGAAGGTTGCAAGTTCAAGCCCCACATCAGGATTTTGAACTCACAGTCAAAGGTTAATAATAATCCCTCCAAAAACAAAAAACAATAATAATTGGTCATTTTCAATCTACGACTGTTTGTGGGACATTGCTGTGCGCAATTGGCTGCCGCTTTCGCCCACAAATATACAGTCAATTCACTTTACAGTGTGTTCTGTGAAGCGCTTTGGGACGTCCTCCCGACGTGAAAAGCGCTATATCAAATGCAAGGATTATTATTATTATTATAAAGGTTAACATTCCAATATAGCGCCGGTGGAGCCCTGCCTTGTTGGAGATAGCTTCTTCTGATGAAATATAAAACCGAGATCCTGGTTTGCCTGTTCAGGTAGATGTTAAAGATCCCATGGGACTATTCGAAGAGGGAGGAGTTTCTCCTAGTGTCCTGGCCAACAATCCCTCAAATAAAATGGATTATCACTTCACGGCCTTTTGTGGAATGTTGCTGTGCAAAAATTGGCTGCCATATTCTTTTATAAAATACTTAAGTTACAATACTTTACAGTAAATCCTGTGAAGCACTTTGAGACATCCTCTCGTGAATTCGACAGGTACTATGTCAAGTGCAAGGATTATTATTTTTATTGTACTTCACATTCCACTGATAAAAATAATGGATGTCCAAGGGACATCTAAAAGGCAACAGTGGATTGTGTCGAAGAAACTTTGACCTTGAACAAAGTATAAAATACACTCAACTGTTTTATGTTTAGGAACTGAGTTACCTCCCTTATCGGAACCATAAGCGTAAGTGGATTTCTTTCTATCTTCATATACAATACAAAATTACATTTGCATAACGCCTTTCACATCGGGAGGACGTCCCAAGATGCTGATCTTTGTAATAGTCTAAATTATTCCCAGTAATGAGTCCTGAACTGTATTGGTTGGAGCACTCGCCTTGCAAGCGAGAGGACCTGGGTTTGATTCCCAGGCAGAGCTTAAGCTTAGGCAAGTTTCCTTACTGCAAATGCCTGTGCTTACCTAGCAGTAAGTAGGAACCCAGTTGTTAGTCAATTGGAGGATCGCTTTCTGGGGGTAATAATCCCTTCAAATAAATAAATAATAATAATTTGGTCACTCAATCCACAAATGTCTGTGGGACACTGCTGTGTGCAATTGGCTGCTGCTTTTCACCCACAAATATACAGGCAATTCACTTTAGAGTAAGCACTGTGAAGTGCTTTGAGACGGGTCAATGATGTGCTAAGGCGCTATATCAATTGCAAGGATTATTAATATTATAGATGAAAGCATTTTGAAATTTCATCCCAAATGGAAATAGACTACTTTAGGTTAGGCCTAAGGCATGCTCAATCAACTGAGGCATATATATATATCACAGTAAAATTGTGAAACCAGGAATTTCGCAAAATCCCTGAAATTTTTAGTAAAATTATGAAACCATTAAATCACTGAAATTAGGAGTCAGGGATTTCATGGAGAGTGATCCATCATATTGATAAACTTGCCTTGACACTTGTTAGCATTATTAGAAAATAACACATAACACAATATGAAAATTAATATTTTATTCACCATACCGATGAATGAAATGTTGATTTAACACAAGAAAGGCTTCCATGACCGAAAGGTCCATTTCAGCTTTGCTTTGAAGCATTTAGAATGGTTGCACCAAACTCCGCTCCCCGATTACCCCAGTCCTTGCCAGACTACCTGTGCCAGAGAGGATCGACTTCAAGATCCTCACTCTTGTTTTCAAATCCCTCCACTCCTCTGCACCCCCCTACCTCTCTGACCTCCTCTCTCCTCACAACAGTGCCCGTTGCCTTCGCTCCACTGGGTCTGGCCTCCTCCTTATCCCCCGAATACTCTGCTCCATCATTGGCGGCCGTGCCTCCAGCCACTACCCTCCGAGGCTCTGGAACTCCCTTGGCCTCGCCCCCACTCTTCCTATTTTCAGGTCTTGGCTGAAGACCTTTCTTTTTGACTGCGCCTTTGGTCACCTTCTTCCCCCTCCCCTTGGCTTGGCCCGGGATCCGTTATGTTAAGCGCTCTGAGACACCATCCAGCATGGAGGGTGCTATATAAATCCAAGTTGTTGTTGTTGTTGGTTGGTTTGTCTGACATTTCTTCTGACCGCAGTTAAAGCCTTATCCACACAAATAGACTGTGCAATGACAGCTTCATGGAGTGACACTGACTTCTCCTGGTTGACGCAGATCTGTTAACAATCATTATGGGCAGAGGTTAAATTTGTTCCTGGAATAGTGACCGCTTCAGATGCCAGCCTTCACTGATAGCTTGTAATGGTCAGTGTCTAAATCTCTATTCATAATACCAAGGATGTTCCTGGGATTCCCCTCTACTCCTGGCCACTACTGGGATCACTTTTTCACAAAATCCCTGACTCCTACTTTCAGTGATATCAGTTTCACTATTTTACTGAAACCTTCAGGGATTTCGTGGTCTCTGGTTTCACAGCTTTACTGTAACATATATATATTTTAAAATACTATCCTTGTATATGCATTAATGTATGCAGTACATTGGAATGTTATGCAGCAGCCAATTTATGCACACCAATGTCTCTTGGTGTAAAAATTTCTATCCTTATCTTGATAAATTAATATGCTAACTTCAGTTTCTCCAATGTGGATAACTTCAGAACTCTTGTCAAACGTGTTGCTTTCAACTTCCTTTTAGAAGAAATCATAATTCTTTTATTTCAGCATCCTATTACCACATTGGGAGTTAAAATCATTAAGGTGACACCTTTAAGGCGCATTGATGTATGCGGTACATTGAGATGTCGTTCAGTGGTTCGATTCCCAAGCAAGGCAAAACAGTTGTCTGTTTACCTAGCAGTAAGTAGGAACCCGGTTGTTAGTTGATTGGGGGATCGCTTTTTCAGCGATAATTCCTTCAAAAAAATAATTTGGTCACTCAATCCACAACGGTTTGTGGGACACTACTGTGCGTAATTGGCTGCCATGTTGCACCCATAAAATACAGTCAATTCACTTTACAGTGTATTCTGTGATTTTTTTGATAAGTCTTGAAGACATGATAAAGCGCTATATCAAATGCAAAGACAATTATTATTATTTTTCACTGGTGAAACGTATAAACAGCTGATTTGGGAGGCCTGGTTTGACTCGTTTTTATGTTTTCAAAAATTGTTTTAATTATTTCATATTTACCAAAAAGTTGTTTTTCTTTGATTTTAGTTTTGAGCTATTGTTTTGCATAATACTGTAATGGTAACAGCTGCAATAACTGCTACAAAAACTTGAGAAGCAAAAGGGGATTAGGCCAGTCTGAGAAATTTTTTCTTCCACTTCAAGGCATGATTATTGGCATGCAAACTGTATTTATATGAGATTAATTGAAGAAAAAGTCAGCTACTTCTCTTGAAAAGCTGCAATTTAAAATGGTGAACCTGTTAGAATACAGTACCACAACTTCTAAAGCAACCATGGCTTTCATTTGGCTTCTGCTCAGAATTTCACCATGTGTCAGCACTTCATTATTAAAACCAATATTCAAATCCTGGGGGGGTGGGGCAGCAAGGAGAAATCCAGATTTAATTTCTCTTGGGGGAGGAGGAAACTACACTTCATAAGTCAGAACATTTGTGTCTTGAGGAAGCTAAATGAACCAGTTGTCTGTGTTAAATATTTAATAATAATAATCCTTGCATTTGATATAGCGCTTTTTCACGTCTGCTAGATGTCTCAAAGAGCTTCACAGAATAGACTGTAAAGTATTTTGTGGGCAAAATGTTCAAGCGCAGAATGCAGAAGAACATTCCCAGCACTCACAAGTATTTCATCAAGGTAGGACCATTAACTATGAAGACCATCTTATAATTTGTTCCCAAATATTGAATCTTACATATCCCGGTGCAATACTTGGGAAGCCTGTTCAGAGGGGTTGTGGTTCAGATAAGCAAAATGCATTAATGAACCTGTGACACTATTTAAAAAAAAAGGGAGTTTCTACCGCTATCCTGGCCAATGTTTGCAAATTGGCTGCTGGCTTGCTACAAAGTCACTACACTGAACACAAACTGCCTGTTGTGAAGTGGTGTAAAATGAGAATTAGTGCAGCAATATGGCAAAAACAGAGAGGTATTACAAAATATTAATATCAATATTAGCAAAAGTAGGGATAAAGGAGAGGTTAGGGGCACTTGGGGAGATTTCGGCTAAAAGTATGTGTTGGGAACTATTGACTGATACAGGCAGTTGCAAAGAATTAAAATGAAGAAATACTACTGATCATGAGTGAATCAAGAGTTCACAATGATGGGTTTCAGATGCTGTAGATTAAGGGATACTCTTCTTGGAGCTTGTTATTTTGAGGAATTATTGGGCCTTATCATTACACCAGTATTGGGCAAATGGGTAGTGTGTTCAACAGGCATAAAAGAGTCTTGATGCATGCACCAGGTTGGTGCCTCAATGTCTGGGATACTATAGGATAAGAGGATTTTACGTCTTCAAGGTGTCAAAGGGAAAATTAAGTGTCATGATGAACTTTTCACGCTTGGTACCAGAAGTGTGAGAAGATGATTGGATGAACCAGATTGGGAATATGATTGGCTAATCAAACTTTTAATATGATTGGACAAAATAACCTTTAAATTCCACGTTTTGGTTGCAAGAGTCACATGGACTAAATTGGGTATAAGAGATGGCAGTATAGCTAAATTTGAAGAAGTGAGTAAGGGTCAGAGATGGATCTAACACCACTCAGATTCAAAAACCTTCCCTGAAAAGGTAAAATTTGTCAAATTATCTCTTCTGCGTTTCCCAAGATGTCTTTGTTTATTGAGGCTCAGTAGGTTCTTAAATTATAAGATTGCATCTTATATTAAAGTCTGTTTAAACTCAGAATAGTTAAAGTATTACCTAAGTGCTAGAGTTTTTTTGTGTCGCTGTGCTACATTCAGGAAAATTGTTGTTTACTATTACATGTTTGAATAAATGAGAATAGTTTCAGAGAAATAAAGTGTTGTGGGTAGTCCTTGAGATCGCTCTGACTGGGCTCAAATCTTAAGACAAAAATGAGAAGTGAAGGATCATGACTTTCAGTGTGCACCTGAAAGGAACAAGTAATTCACACAATAAAAAAAAGAGATAAGTGTACCGTGACACTGTAAAGCACAGGTTACTATATCAAAGGCAAAAGATTTTACTTGTTAAGTTATTGGTTCCACATCATCACCATTCTGGTAATTTTTTTCCTGGTTTAGGTTGTTATAAATTTGTTTGGTTGGGTTTCCTTCATCTAAGTCAAATACAGAATCTTCTGACATTTGTGTTTCTTCAATATTGTATATTTATATACACACATGCATTCCTTCATTCTTAATCTGGATCATAGCTTCTTCCCAATCTTTTTTTTCCTAAAGATAACAATTTCAGCTTAAGAACGTGATGCCCTAGGGTCATTTTTCTTCTTTAGTGACTGAACTCATCTTGTTTTTTTTCCCTCCCGGTACCTAGCAAACTCTTCATTCAACCCATCTTCTCTCTCACACAGAGACTATATAAAAATGGAAGTCAAGATGTATTCTTTCTTTTCAACTTTTCTTTGAAGTTAGAATCTCAAAAACACCAAACAATATTTCTTCACTATATTCAATTTACTGTATGTGGTAGTGTCTGGAATTTTGTATTCACATACAAACAGAAGGTAACATTTGGGTAACTATAAACAAAATGTGAACTACTTTTATGAAAACACAGGATTAATTTGTTTTACAATTTCTATCTAGATAAACAAACATCTTCACATTTGGATGATTAAAACTACATAGCAAAGCACTTTATGCTAATTACACTCACATGGACCTTTATTATGGGCAAGCCACTAAGTTTCATTGAAAATTGTCTGTTTAAAATTGAGAAAATCTATGGAATGCCCAAGACTTGCTTCAAAAGAGAAAAACTTAAGTATACAATTACATTTGGCTAGTATCCGTTAGAAAAGCCCAAGAGCCACATCATTCCTTAATAAAGCAATGCCAATTTAACACAAATGAACCGATGCAATCATTAAACACAATGCAATCTTGAATCCAGAAATCCAAAAGTTTTAAATTCAAATTTCACAACACATTAGTTTGTAAATAAAATGTAAGAGCACAGAATTAGCTCTATCCAATGTTTGTGTATTTTAGAGCCTTGTGAAAATTTCAGAGATCTTAACAGCTGATAGTCTAAATTGACAGGTCCACACTATTTGTTACTTTGACAAGTTTCATGGACATCAAGGTGTAGGTTGATTAGGGATATCAGTTCAAGGGATTAGAACACTTCTCCACTTTAAATATCTATCCCTTACTGGTTTGATTGTATATTTTCATCTTGAATCTGCTGACATTTGTGTTTCTTCAACTCACTTGGAAGATTAAATCCACCCTTACAAAATGGGCAGAAGATGAGGAAATCCTCTGTGTGAATTGTCCTGACATGTCTTTTGTAGTTTGCAAATAGGTAGGAGCTGTAAGGACAGTATTGGCATTTGTAAAGTTTTCGGTCATCAATATCACCAGATTGGTTAGACTTTGAATTATTTTGTTTATGAACTTTTATGTGATGCTGCAGATCACCTTGTCTGTCAAACTTGGCACTACAGCGATCGCAACCGAATGTTTTCCTCTCTGCATGAAGTGCACTGACGTGATCACTCAGTGCGGTTACATCTCCAAAGCTCAGCTCACAGTACCCACAGGACAGATGTTTCTGTCGGGCAAGAATGGGTTTGTGTTTATTGTATGCACTTTGCTGATCAGACTTCTTTCCACTTTTATCACAAGTTAAAATGTTATCTTTTGAGGATGATGAGTCTTCTTGATGGCCTGCCCCACACTTTGCAGTTACCAAAAGTCGTAGCTTTGAAGTCTCCATCTTACCCATCTTACCAGATTTCAGTTCTGAATCATTTTTTGATGATTCTGTCAACATAATAGCTTTTGATGATTCAATTTTTGCAACAGAATTTCCATCCATTTGTTCTACTTGCTTGTGTGAACTGTGAGATGGCACAAAGGAAGGTACTGAATTGGTCAACTTTACCTCTGCATTCAGTTGCTTGTTAGTACCTGTATTTTCAGAGGAAGCATTTTTTCTCAGCTCTGGATTACACTGCTTTTCATGATTCTTATAAGCTCTCGCATAATCAGATTCAAAATCACAATAGGAACATTTGTAATAAGGTTCTCCGGTGTGCACAGACATGTGTCTCTTAAGTACCTGGTCAATAACAAAATATTTCCCACATACACTACACTGGTAAGGATAAGGCTTGTTGTGTTTTACAACAACATGATACAGAGCACTACCTTTACTTTTACAACGAAAGTTGCAGGAATTGCAGAAAAAGGTTCCTCGAACATACTTCACATTTTCTGCTAAACTTTTCTCTTTTTTCTTTTCTTCAGAAGGCTCGTCTTCCTTTTTTATATTTTCTTCAGCAGGCTCCTCAGGTTTACCTGAAACTGTAGATTTACTACCTGATCCAGATTCAATTGGGTAACGACCACTATAATCACAATACTCAAACTCAAAATGCTGAGCATTGACTTTCTTCTTGATTTTCTTCTTACAGCAATGCCCATTTAGTTCATTAACACTAGAGAATTGAAAACCACATGTTTCACAGTTAAAATCAGTACTTCTGCTTTTGGAATCTTCTGAACTGTAATCCTTCTTGATCATATGCTTCTGTTTTCTAGGTTTCTTCTTACTAGGCTGCAGATCACTTGTGTTTGCTTCCCTTGGTTGTTTAAGACTCTTTCTTCCACCTTTCTTGGATTTTTTCCCCTCAATCATTTTGTGTACTTCTAATTCTTTCTTTGAAGTTCTTTTTTTTCTCCCACGGGCTATTCTGGCATGGGATTCAGTTGTTTGAGAAGCCTCTTCATTTCCCTTCTTGATCAAATTTATATGTTGTTCTACAACGTGATGATAAACATTCCTGTACAATCTGCTTGTGAAGAAACACTGTTGACAGTGAAACAATTTTGCACTTTTCTGGTAAATCATTATCTCTCTTAAATTAGCATGTTCTGAGGTACTGGAAGCGAGGTGCGTTTGAAAGAGTTCCTGGTCGGGACTCTTAAAATCACAATTTACACAAACTAAATCTCCAGAGGCGTTACAAATCTCAGTATTGTTTTCCAGTTTCTGGATTGCGTGGAACTCAGCAGAATTTTCTTCTTGCTGGCTTGTAAATTCCTTTGCTTGCATCTCTGCTACAGGTCAATTCATAACTTTCCAATCCTCAAATGTTTTGCAGCAAATGGTTGTCGTCTCCGTACGTACTTCCAGTTCTCCCCGAACCTTCCCTATTCACAGGTGCACAGGATCCTCTAAAGGTACTATCTCCCGGAATGGCTTTGAGCCTGCGATGTGTTCAACTCTCAAGACCACGAGCTACGCTGAAAAGTCAAATGCGGCATCTTCCATGGTCAAAGCTAAAAGGTGTCACCACTTAACAAACAGTACTGCCAGGTCCACAGCATCTATTTATTAAACTGCGAGAGAAAGTTCTGACTGCGATTCACACGCCGCCTCACCTATAGAGAGGGCACATTAGGAATAGTAAAGCAGCGTTGTCGGCAATCGTCAGCATTTTTATGAGGAAAAATCTCTTTTTTTTAAAAAAAAATCGAATTGCAAGACCAAGAATATTTCCCAAATCTCTCCCTTCCCACAGGAGGATCTCTTCCCGCCTTCCAGATTCCTCTCTATCTCTCTCTCTCTCTCCCTTCGGGCTTTCTCTTGCGCTCCCCTGGGACGGTGCTGGGGGTGGTGGTGGTGACAGGGGAGTTTCTCGCCCTCAGGCTGTTGGTGGGGCAGACAAGTTGTTGGTGAGAAGTTTCTTACCCTGCGCTGAGGTGGGTTTGGGGGGGGGGGGGGTTGTTGAGGAGTTTCTCCCCAGGGTGAGGGGTGAGGGGGGGGGGGGGGGGGGTGAGAGAGGTATGTTGTCGTCATCGTTCCCCCCCCCCGTAGGACCCTTTCCGAGGGAGGCGTGTAGTTTGGAAATGCTTCTCCGCGGGGGTGGGAGGGGATGTTCTGGGGGAGTCTCTCTCCCTCCCTCCCCCGCCCGCCCGCTCCCCCGTTACCCGCCTCGCGCTCGCGCTCCGCCCTTCCACCACATTTCAAAGCTAACGGTCGGCGCGAGCCAGAGGCCCGGATGCAGCGGCGGAGGCCGCGCGCTGCCCTCGGGCGGCACCTGCACAGCGAGCGCTCCCTCTTCGCCCCCCACACCCCCCCCAACCCCCCGCCCGCGCGGCGGCAGCAGCGCCGCCACCAACCCCCCACACACACACACTCTCTCTAACAACCCCCCCACTTCTTCCTCCTCCTCCTCTACTCACCGAGCCGCACCAGTGGAATCAACGGCCGACAATAAATAAGGCCAGGCCGAGAGTGAGGGATTGTAGGGGGTCGGTTGAGGTTGGATTGAACCACAGCGCCTCGGGGGGGAGGGTGGGGGGGGTATGTGTGTGTGTGTGTATGTGGGGAGAGAAAGAGCCGCCGTGTCTCCGCCACACATCCGGGAGGCGCTTCAGTACAAAACAAACCGCACGCGCGCACAGGTGAAGGCCGCGGCCTGGCCCCGTATCCCCCTCACACCGCACAGACAGGAGCGGGGCAGCAGCGGGCGGCGAGCGCGGTCCTGATTGGTGATGTTAATGTAAAGCCGCCAATGAAATACCGTCGTCCCCGCTGCGTGATTGGCTCAAGCAGCCGTTGAGGCGGGCGGGGGGGGGGGTGGGGTGGGGGGTTATAGTGCAATGAGATATAAAATGTACCGTGTTTTACATCAGTGGGTGGGGTGGGGGAGGAAAAAGTTCCTCTGCGAAGAAGGAGCAAAAGGTAGCAAAGACCCCACCCGCCCACCCATCCTCTCTCCTGGATGGTGGAAGGAGAGAATGAACAGGAAAAAAGTAGAAGAGGAAGATGGGGAGGGGGAAAGAGAGAGAGAGAGAGAGATAATAGTTTCTTTCTCCCCAGGGCCAGGCGTCCACCTATGAGATACAAGGGAATGGTAGATACATAATTCTGGTTGTTGGCAAGTCCCAAAAGCTCTTCGCAGAATTCTGCAATCCAGCGTAGTGACTGTATTTGCAGGCCCCGCAATGTCCCGCAAAGCAGCCCTGAAGCGAATGACCAGTTTTAACCCGGGCAAAGGTCCGACGGAGGGTCGCGGACCCGACACGTTGGCTCCCGTTTCTTTCTCCCAAAGTTGCTGCCTGACCTGCTGAGCGAGTGCTCCCGGCGACTTCTCTTTTTGTTTCAGGTTTCCCAGCATCTGCGGTATTTCACATTTTGTTTTAACCAGGGAATTCCAGGCAGGGCGAAACCTTGGGCAAGTTTCCTTACTCCACACAGAGCCTAATAATAATCCCTCCAAAACCAAAAACAATAATAAAATTGGCATTTTCAATCTACGACTGTTTGTGGGACATTGCTGTGCACAATTGGCTGCCGCGTTCGCCCACAAATTTACAGTCAATTCACTTTACAGTGTGTTCTGTGAAGCGCTTTGGGACGTCCTTCCGACGTGAAAAGCGCTATATCAAATGCAAGGATTATTATTATTATTATTGTTGGCCGGGACCCCAGGAGGAACTTCTGTTTTTGAGTCACGAAGGGTGCCCTATAAATATAAGTTGTTGTTGCGGTGGGATCTTTAACATTGACATCTGAACAGGCAGATGGGACCTCGAATTAACATAACAACTGAAGGATGGGACCTCAACAATGCTGTTATTGCAGTGCAGTTGAGCATATGCTGGTGCCAGCTATATAGTGCAATCCCTTGTTCTTTTACTAATAATCAAATTGCTGACCTCAGATAAGAAAAACACAGAATCTCGAGTGGTTTGTGACTGCTATTTGAAATTCCAGGAAGAGACTGCTGCTTCAAAAATACCTGAAAATGTGCTCCTGTTAGAAAGGTCACCCAAGTGTCTGACATGAACACACCCATTGCCATGCTGAAGAGTTATCTGTTTGCCTTGGTTTGGAAGTGTATGGTAATATTGTGGGAAAATGAATTTATCTCTTTATTTGTGATTGGAATCTACTGGAAAAAAATGTCCTACACAGCCAAGAAGTAAATGACTTATTTCTTTTATTTGAGGGATTGTTGGTCATAATATTAAAACAAGGAGGCTGATCTATCATATTAAATTGATCTGTAACCTACTGTGTTACGACAGGTGACAACTATTGCTTTGGTATGACTGTCTTCAGTTTGATTCATTGTTATAAGGCTTTTTTTCTAATTTGATTTCTCTTACCTCACGTATGTTTTGTCAAACTGACCTCTTTGTAACCCTCACAAGCAAACAGGACAAAAGAAGAGTTTTAGGTTCAGCTAACCACAAGGAAACTGCAGGTCATATTCCAGTTCTTACACCGGACCAAATCACCACAGAAAGAACCTTAGAGCCCAAACACAAAATATCATTGTTCTTGGAAGTTGATAATTGGCCGTATTATTTCTTGCTCTGTAATAAGATGTTTCATGTTAGTGTGGTGAATGCCTAATAGGCTTAACATCCCACCTAATCGCAACAAGAAATGGAGTTCACTAGTTTGAATCTGTGTTGAGTTTGGTTTATCTCTGGTTGGGGATACATGGGGAAGCTAAATTACCCCCAACTTCCAACACGTCCCTTTATAACACCCTCTACAGGTCTTGCACGTGTGTTGCAGCTTGGTGATTTGAGGTAAGGCTGGGTGATGGGCTTGTGGAGTTTGGTGCATTTTTCTAGTTGTTTTGGAGCATTTTGCCAGCAAGAAGGTGTAATGATACCAATGGCTAATGGCATCAACTTCCTTCTGGTTTGCATTATGGATGTTACAGGACTGCTACTGTCCCATAAATTCACATGTCGAGTCTCCATGCTTAATGCCCACTTGTCATTTCAGGAATCAGACTGAAATCAAAGATCTTCCTGGGGGGGTGGGTTTCACAAATTGTCATGGTTTCATTGCTCATACTAGATCTCTTCTGTAAATCCCTATGTTTACCTTCAGTGACCGTCTACTGATTTTTCTTCTTTCAACCCTTTCCATTTTTCTTTCTCCCCTTACTCACATATTCAAATGCACTCTGCAACTAGGGGGCTGCCTGACCTTTGGAATGTTTTGAATGAAACTGATGAATGTTGAGATTTCCAATTTCTAACATTACCTACTGGTCACAACTTGAGAAATATTTGCCCTCTCTGGTCGATGGCACAGATATTTATTCCTGCAGTGCCAATGTAATCAATATAAATTAAGCAAAATCTAATTGTGCGCTACATGTACATATACACGCTACCCTGCATGAAAGGCACAACATAAATGTAAGTTGTTGTTACATACCTGACATTGTATTTGAAAAATAATGACCTTTTGTTTGCTTCTTTTCCCGGTTATCGCTGCTTTCTCTGAGGGCTGACTCATAATTTGAATGGCATTGTGTGACAACCTGGACCAGTGGTGGCACTCTCACCTCTGAGTCGGAGGATTGTGGGTTCGGGCCGTATGTCGAGAATTGGAGTCACTTGGTCTCGGCTAAAGACCTTTCTTTTCGATCGGGCCTTTGGTCATCTTCTTCCCCCTCTCCCTGGCTCGGCCCCAGGATCCGTTATTGTGAAGCGCTCTGAGACACCGTCTGGCGTGGAGGGCACTATATAAATCCAAGTTGTTGTTGTAGCATGATGCTTCAAGCCTGTGCTGGGGATGTGTTGCATTGTCGGAGGTGCCTTCCTTCAAATGAGACTTTAAACCAACAACCTGGATGCCTGTTCAGGTGGACATTATTCAAAAAGAGAAGGGAGTTTCTCTCTCCCGGTGTCCTGGCCAACAAATCCTCCAAATAAAATTGGTCACTCACTCCGTGGCTGTTTGTGGGACATTGCTGTGAGCAAACTGACTGCCACAGGATTATTATTACTATATTTTTCATATTATTATGGGCAGAATACTATATGCAGATTATAGGTGTTGGCATTCACCCTGAAACATTATTAAATGTCCTGTAAAAAAATGTTTATTGTGTTTATATTAAGCTTATCAAAAAATAAGTTAGCGCACATTATAAAATGTATACGTTAAAAATACTAATTTTTCATCTCTGACAGAAACAAATAAGGCCAGTGTAAAGGAATTTTATAACAGTCTAGATAAGGTTGTTTGTCCTGGCCAACAGTCCATTAGATTCATTTGTTGTTGACGGTTATTTAGGGGAACAGGTTGAGATTTGCAAAGTTCAGTCTAGTAAAAGAACTATTGACAATTTCAGTTGAGGCTGACAAGTCATGGCTAAACTCTGAAATAGTAACTATCAAGTTATCCATCCTATCCACTACCCACCCTTTCCTTTCACTCCCATCCTTGACCAGCTCCACTGCCCCTCCCCCCGGCCTCCAGCAGGACGAATTCAAGATCCTCATCCTAACCTTTAAATCTCTCCCTAATCTCATCCCACCCAACCTTTGCAACCCCCTCATACCAACAATAATAAATTACATTTGTATAGCATCGTTCACATTGGACAGATGTCCCAAACCCTACCAACACAGCTAACGTTCAGCAGGCAACCGCCTGCTTCCCGTCCCCCGCCATAGTCCATAGTTGGTCAGATATTCATCTTATCTGTCCCCATTCTCTGGATCTTTGAGTCCCTTTGATTTGCTTATTCCCTCACTTCCTTCCAGGTCCGCCTCAAGACCTTCCTCTTTGACTGCACTTTTGACTATCCTTTCTCCTCACCCCACACCCCTTCACCCCCACTCCTGACCTCACCCTCAGCTCAGGTGCAAACCCTGTCCAGCACCTTGGGACATCCTCTTGATGTGAAAGTTGCAATATACAGTAAATAAATCTTTTTCTGTGTTATAATAATAATTATTATTGTAATAATTATTATTGTGTTGTATTCTTGTTGGTGAGTGATTAGCATTGTGGGTTCTTGCAGTAAAAATAAAACCAAAAAGTAGTAAAAAGAAATAGACCATGGCCAATAGGGTCCTCTCCTCAGATAATTCATAAGAGTAATCTTTATATTGATATAACACTTTTCACATTAGGAGAACATCTTAATGTGCTTCACAGGATTTACTGCAAAGTGTAGTGACTGTGTATTTTGTAGGCAGATCATGGCAGGTAAGTCTAGCCGATGAGCCAGGCTGTCATCAACAGTGCTGCCAATGACTGCAAACCTGTGTGGCTTATGAACTGGATGACCTAGAGGATTGATTTGGTTCTGATATTGCATTACCAATCACGTCACCTTGGAGACAATTCAGCTCCAAGTAGACCTTGCTAGTCTTCCCCCAAGGAGTTAAGAAACATGAAAAATTGGTTAAGAGATACCTTTGTCAGAGATGGAAATCGAAAGACAACAACTTTATATTATTACAGCTTATGTAGATTAATTTGCTGTACTATTTTTTGTAATTCAATGGGAACCACATGTTACAACTAAAAGGAGGGGTATGGACATATACACTCTTCATATATTGTTACTCCAAGGGAAAAGAGCTCCGACTATATCTGGGGTGACTGTAGGCATGAGTCCTCCAGGGACACAAGGGGTGCTGTGGGCAGGAGGACCTACATCAACACAATCAGTATGACAGAGTAGCCCAAGCCCCCATGATTGTTAGTTTATTTATTTAAGTAATGTACAATAAGTAAAATTCACATAAGTCTTTATCATATTCAGTAAAACTCACAAGTCTTTTTATAAACCATATAATGGTCTACGTTCATGTACTTTGTAACTCTAACAAGCTGCCAGGACAAAGAAAGGGTCTTTGGTTCAGTTAACTACAAGACTTTGCAATTTGGTATTGACCCTTTTATTCAGTTTGAATTGAACTTTCAATAACATTGATGTGAATGGTAAGTTTGCTACACCGTGATTGCACCTGTTCATAATAATAATAGTCCTTGCATTTTAGTGCCTTATCACATCGTTGAAACGTCTCAAAGTTCTTCACGGGATATACAGTCAAGTGGAGCGACTATATTTTGTGGGCGAAGCACAGCAGCCAATTGCACATAGCAATGTCCCACAAACAGTCGTGGATTGAGTGACCAAATTATTTTTTTAAGAGATTATTATCCCGGAAAGTGATCCACCAAATCCCCTAGCAATTTGAACTCATTTTTTACCCTGGGGTCAGCCAAGTACTTCACTATTTGGTTTCAGTTTAGTAACTATACAGGAATTAAATCACTGAAATACACAATTTTTTGGGGGGTGGGCGGAGAGGGGAGAATTTGCGGGTGAGAGTCTGACCCGCTTCTATTACACAGAATGTTGGCCCTGATTCCTCTCCCCCTGACCCCAGTTCGGGTCTGAAATGCTGTACACTGTCCGGCGCCTTGGGACGTCCTCTCGACGTGAAAGGCACTATACAAATGTAATCTTGTTGTTGAATGCTAGTATATGCTTAAAAGCATTTTGGTATGTTTTCTCCAACCTGTCATCTGACAGTCACCTCCCTCTGCAACAGGAGCTTTGGTGTTGCACTTAATAAGAAGCTCACTACATCTCGCACAGAATCTTCACACAAATTCCTATCAATAATAACCTATTGAGTTTATACAAAATTCAAGAACTATGGATAATATTCTTGATAATCAAAAATACCAAGATCTCCCTGTGGCGGTCTCAGTAGTCCAGTTCATGAGCTAGGTGGGTCCACAGTATTCCAGGGGACCTCTACTGACAGCAGAGCCAGGCTCGCTCATCAGCAGTTACTAGGATCAGGAACTCTTCCCACTCAACTCCCATTGTGGAATCCTGTAGCTCAGTGGTTAGAGCACTCGAGAGACCTTGGTTCGATACCCAGCAGGGCGAAATCTTGGATAAGTTTCCTTATTCCATATGCCTGATAATAATCCCTTAAGAAAAAAAACAATAAATCAGTCACTTCAATCCACGACTGTTTGGGAGACTGTTGTGTACAATTGGCTGCCAGGTTTCACCCACAAAAATAGTCAATTCACTTTACAGTATATTATAATAATAATAATCCTTGCATTTGATATAGCGCTTTTCACGTCGGGAGGACGTCCCAAAGCGCTTCACAGAACACACTGTAAAGTGAATTGACTGTATATTTGTGGGCGAACGCGGCAGCCAATTGCGCACAGCAATGTCCCACAAACCGTCGTAGATTGAAAATGACCAATTTATTATTGGTTTTGGTTTTGGAGGGATTATTATTAGGCTCTGTGTGGAGTAAGGAAACTTGCCCAAGGTTTCGCCCTCTGCCTGGAATTGAACTCAGGTCTCTCGCTTGCAAAGCGAGTGCTCTAACCACTGAGCTACAGAACTCCACATTCTGTGAAGCGCTTTGAGATGTCTAGAAGACGTGAAAAGCGATATATCAATTACAGGTTTATTATTATTAGTCCAGCAAGCCAAAGCCCAATCGGGTGGAGGGTGGTCCTAACTGGACCGAAGCTTTAACTGGACTCTCCTAGCACTTAATGTATGTAGTTTGGAGGAGGGGAAGGTGAAAGATTCCTGGTCTTCTCAACTCTCAGCACATATTGATTCATCCATTCAAGTAAGTTAATTTCTGAAATCAATTGTAAACATTTGATAACCTCTCCAAAACAGTTTTATTTAACATATATTCACATTTAACCAATAAAATTATTTCATGAGACAGACTGCCAATAACACTTAAATATTTTATATTTATACTGAATATACTTAAAGATTCAACTCTAATTAAAGTTAACTGTCTTTAACAGATCAGATTTACATATCACATATTTACACCATAAAACATTCATGCAAACATTCGTGTTCAATCACAAATATCAAACAACAAGCAAAGTGTGATCCAGGGTCTGAGTTAAATGAAGACTTGTACACTGTTTTATTAATGTATTTTTGATCACAAAACAATGGAAGAATACCAGAGCAGAAGATGGCTTGATAGTAAAAGCAAAATTATACTATTCAGAAAAAGAAAATTATGATTTTATAACAATTTGAACTCTATCATGCCAAATTAGGTTAAATGGATTGTAGATTCAAGTTCAAAGAAGCAACCAAGATACACTAAAGACAAGAACAATTCTATAGACCTAAAGGTAAAATTATCCAGCACATTATCCAACTGCAGCTTAAAAATCAACACTGCCTTTTGTTTTACCGATTGCATTAAAATCATGCCACAAGGTATACTGTGAAATAACATATACAATTGTTAGAGCTTGTGCTTTAATTTTTTAATATGTGTTTATCTAACCATGTTTGCACTAGTAAAGGATCAAGAAAGTGATTTCATCAACTTGCTCAAATCTAACAAAATCTTTTGCCACAAAATTTTTGATGGACTCAAATCAAATCATGGATGCATTTTCATGGATTGAAAAACTGGTTGTCGGGTTTGCTAAAGCTGGTTGTCAGGAATTTGCATCAAGATACATTGACACAGTAACTAGGGGCATTCCAAATTAGGTACAACTACACAAAAACTGGAGTAAATGCTAAATTCCCCTATGGTACACAGTCTTTAAATGACTGCATTCCAGCAATTTCCTAATGTAACAAAATACACGGTTACTATGCTCTACATTAAAATCCTGTGAAGCACTTTTGAGATGTCTTCCCTTCCCAATGTGAAAGGCGCTATGTCAAATGCAAAGACTGTTATCTTAACTATCCTGTGCAATAATCAACAGTTCTGTTTATTATTTTCACCACCAAATTCAGAATGTTAAATTAATGATATCATGAATTTACTACTTAATATTTTAAATGTAATTTGCAATGTTGTTAACAAAAGACGACAACAACCAGTACTTCAACATAATAGACAACCCATTACATTATAAGCCATCACGATCTTGGAGGCACACCATGTGCATTGTGACGTTTTGCTCTCAAATCTGTAATTGGAATAGTTAACAAAAATGTTCTGCTCAACGTATGACTCATTCAACTTATCACACTTTCATTCTTCACTCTTCTCAGAACCTGCTCCAACAGAACTGTCATCTTCATATTTTCTCTCTGTGCTGTCTTCAGAAGGTTTGCTACAGCAGTCATACATCTTTCCACCAGATCCTAGGCGTGTGCGACAACGTGCTCCAGGTTGGTACAACTGCATAGCTGGACGGTCCTGCACAACCAAAACCAGAAAAAGTGGTACTACTGTGCATCACCCATGTAGCTGTCTTGAGATGCACACGTTTTTATGCACACATAAATACTGTACAAGTGTTACATTTTTTTATCACCACAATGTAAAAGGATGGGTACATGAGAATTGCCAGACTGTTTTTCATGCAAGCTATGCTACTATGAAGAAATCAAATTACCAGTAGAACTAAAACAAAAGCAGACCAAATGAACAGCAGGCTAATCAACATCTGAATAGAACGATCCATCATTTTAGTATGATCCTTCATCAAAACTCAAATAATTGGTCTGAAATAACGGTTTTGATGAAGTTGATGGGTCATACCGAAACTTGATCTACACACTATTTCTCTATCAGATGCTGATTTATCTTTTTCACATTTCCAAATTTTCCAATTCTATTTCAGAATTTCAGCATTTTCTGCCAGGAATTTTATCTGTGCTATTACAGATATCTATTGATGTAGTTTAGTATTTTTGGGAAAAGATTCAGCCAACAGCAAACTATGGTTTCAATTTAAATTTTAGCCATTATGTGACTAGCTTTGTAGCTCCACTGTTTACTACTCCTACAACTCTTGCTGTTAAACTTATGTAAACACTTGATTATGTAAACACTTGATTTTAACAGACTGCTATGATTTTACTTTTATTAGTTGAATAATTTGATTTTGAGTGACAGACTCAACAAGAAATGCTTAGGAATTTTATTCATAGGAAGCTGAACTATCAGATTGCTTGGCTAAACAATTCTTATCTCTATTCACTCACATGCCTTCAGGAACACAGCATCAATTTAGCTAAGCTTAATTGTACAGAGCAAGTCTCAACACCATATCATTTAACATTAAGAGAATTTAATTTAAATATACATTTGAGTAACTGGGATAATAAGGCTTTCGTGGACTCTGAGTGGTAATATTTGAACTGTAGAGATAGGAAAACTCTTCAGAAGTTAGCATACCCAATTTACCATAAAATACTTATTTATAGATATTTATTAAACAAAATACTTAAATACAGTATTGACGTATGGTTTATTACAATGTTATAGTGTGTAGGTACCAGGATTTCTATAAGAGATGTTTATAAACGTCACCATCAGAGATTCTGCTCTGCCTATGTTTTGAGCACCCAAGAACAATGATGATTCCAGGATTCAGAGATCTTTGTGAGAAACTGTTTCATAGATAATCTACAAATACAGTCACTACGCTTTACAGAAAACTCTGTGAAGCACTTTAGCTGTTTTGAAGTGATGAGGTACAAAATTAAAAGAAAGGATTATTATTACTTGTAACTGACCATGTTTTTGTTAAGAGAAAACAAAATCATGAAGTGATATGATCCAGACTTAAAATGTGAGATGTATGGATAATATGACTGTAAGCAGGCTATTTCATTAATTTTGGCTGAAGGACTAGATACAAAAACAAAAATAAGAGATAGAGAACAGAGAGATTAGAATAAATGTTTCTGGTACAGAGTAGTGGATATATAGAGTAAATATCCATCAAAAACCTTTAGGACTCTGTCAATGAACTTTAAAGGGTTGAATAAAGTATCAAGTTAAGAATGGGAAGGTTGGAAGAATATTTGTAGCCAATGATGATCGAGGTCTATACAAAAAATATTCCCTGTACTTCTGAAACCAAAGAGAAGCAACCTATGGAATGCAAGGATTGAATAGTGACAAAAAAAGTTATTTAATATCCTGGAGTTTGTTTGATTGTCATAATAAAGGTTGAAGTTGTGATTGGAAAAAAGACATTCCTACCGGATTTCCACATAGGAGCAAGATTCACCAGTCTTAGCTGAGGTGCCTGTGGCAAGGTGAGTACATTCTCACAAAGCTCAGACAGGTCTTCAGGCAGGTTTACCAAGAGGCATTACATGAAGATGTCTACAGCTTGGAACTTGCAAGAACCTACTCAAACTCGAGGATAGGCAAAAGAGAGAAGCAAATAAAATAAAAAGTAACACAAATTATGAATGAATAAACTATGCATCAATATATTGAATTATTTCACCAGGAATATTAGCTATTTTAAAGTGATGTCAGTGCCTATAAACAATCCAACTCTTATTACTATTTTCCTTTTCCATCCGATCTAAAGGTTTCAAAGGGCCTGATACACTGGAGCCTGGTGGCATACTTTCTAGTAATTTTGCTCATGGTGGATGTCCCAAGGCGCTGGACAGTCAGGGATTTGGACCTGAGCCGGGGCAGGGGGGAGGTAGTAGGGTGACCAAAGGCGCGGTTGAAGTGGAGAGTCTTGAGATGTGCCTTGAAGCAGGCAAGGGAGGGCGTGAGGCAAAGGGAATGTGGGATGCAGTTCAAAAGGGTGGTGGCAGAAAGTCTGAAGGCCCAACCGCCGATGGCGGGGCAGACCGGGCGGGAGACGTTGAGCAGGCCAGAGCCTGCTGAATGGAGGGAGAGGATGGGTTGATATGGCCCTAGCAGGTCACAGAGGTATGAAGGAGCAAGGCCGTGGAAGGCCTTGAAGGATTGGATGAGAATTTTGACTTTTATCCTCTGGTGGACGAGGAGCCAATGGAGCCAGGTGAGGGTGGGGTTAGGGAGGCTGGTGTGGGAAAGGACACGAGCTATAAAGTTCTGGATGATCTGCAGCTTGTGGAGGGAAGAGTTAGGGAGATCAACAAGCCTGGAGTTAGCGTAGTCGAGCCTAGATGTGATGAGCGCGTGGATGAGGGTACATCCATGGATGATGATGCTGTCAGTGCCTGAGGTATGGAGGCTCTGATGGGAGCCAATCAGGAGGGCCTTGGTCTTGTTGACATTCAACTGTAGAAAGTTAGTTCTCATCCAGAACTTGATGCCTCGCACATCCTGGAGTCCAGGGTAGAGGCAGAGAGATAGAGCTGCATATATGTGGATGTTGACCCCATGTATGTGGATGATTTCACCAAGATATCTAAAGCCTCAGCTGCAACAATATTAAATGAATTATTCCTTTAAAATATATTACCATACTTTAAAGATCCTATCTATTTTGGTTTTAAAGAGACACTCGTAAACCCCTTGTACTTACAGAGGCAGGAACCCTTTCCTGACTATTATTGCTTACTCAAAACAAGCTTCTAGCACTGTAGACTTTGTGTTTTTCAGTTTGCTTTGTTTTATAAAGTTCAAGATTTTTTACAACTCAAGACTGCAGTTATGATACATTGTGCAAAGTAAGTAATTATGGAATAAACAGTAGGAGAGTTTCAAGATAGTAATAAGAATTGCTGGGAGAAGTTTCAATACATAGTGGCTTTCACAAACTTTTACTCTGTCAAATTATTTCCAATCAAAACAGATTTTATTAAGTTTTAACGATAGTATTTTGATAACCTTTAAAAATAAACTTAACATAGTAAAATATACATGCAACAATTCAAGAATAGAAAAAAATCTCTTAAATAGGAATGTTTTAATGAAGTACTTTAAACAAATACAGTAAATTACAGTACACGACAATACCTGTTTGGGTAGATTTTGCCCAGGCTATGTAGAACATTTGACTTGTGCACTGAGGCATGTATGGAGTATGCAGTTTATTTTCTAGTATTTTAGAACATGGGACTTGAAAAACTACTCCAATTAATACTGCCAATATCATAGTAGTTTGAAAAAATGGTGACAGGTACCTTATTTCTTATCCGCTCCCTTTTAGATGCCATGTCATCATTTTTGTCTTCTTTACCCAGTCTGTCCATTTTCTCAGTGCTAAACATGTAGTCCAGGCTGTCTCCCTTCTTCTCTCTATCTTGACCGTGCTCCTTCCCTCTTTTTGTTTCTTCCTCTTTTGTTCTCATAGCCCTCTCCATTTCATATCGTTCTCTTTGCCTCCTGCGTTCATCCTCACGTCGCTTCTGTCGCTCTCGTTCTCGTTCCTTTTCTCTCAATCTTCTTTCCCGTTCTCTCTCTCTGTGCTCTCTAGCACTATCATTTAGAGGTCTGAGTAAAAAAACACAGCAAATTATATAGTTGCCTTTTTTTCTTTTGTCTATAAAAACAATTAAAACAAAGTCTACACTAATTATAAATAGTTGAGTTTTTTTGGAAAATATTCAATATTTATTTGATTCAGTTAATTGTGGAGCTCAATCTATACAAGCAAATAGCTCTAATGTAACAAACAGCTGAGAACATATTACAGAACTTAGTTCTCAAATTACGTGACTTCTATATTGTGCACATGAGCATATATCTTATTTCAAAAAAGGGTTATGATAAAAGAATTAGCAGGCAAGATTCCTTAAAAAATAGTTACGTTATAGCTTATTCAAAGATATCAAATTTTACTTCAAGAATTTAGATAATTATCTGAGGCTGATTTTATGCTATTGCAACGTTTGGTTTTGTTGTTTTCTAGAGTTATCCATTGACAGCACAGTCACTACACTTGGACCTCACTGACGAGATCTTTATGCAGGTAACCAGAGAATATCTAACTGGTAGCTTTATAACTGACTTTTTTTTCATATGTATATATGACACACAAGATGTGTGTGTCAGCCTAGCTCAGTTGGTAGAACTCTCACCTCTGAGTTAAAAGGTAGTAGGTTTTAGCCCCATATTGGGACCTTTGAACTCACAGGCTGCAATGCAGTGGGGGGTGGGCTGATTGTTGGCGATATCATCCTTTAGATGAGATGTTAAAGCAATGAGTCGGTTGTTTACCTGTTCAATAATAATAATAATCCTTGCATTTGATATAGCGCTTTTCACGTCGGGAGGACATCCCAAAGCGCTTCACAGAACACACTGTAAAGTGAATTGACTGTACATTTGTGGGCGAACGCGGCAGCCAATTGCGCACAGCAATGTCCCACAAACAGTCGTAGATTGAAAATGACCAATTTATTATTGTTTTTTTTTTTTTGGAGGGATTATTATCAGGCGTGTGGAGTAAGGAAACTTGCCCAAGGTTTCGCCCTCTGCCTGGAATTGAACTCAGGTCTCTCACTTGCAAAGCAAGTGCTCTAACCACTGAGCTACAGGACTCCACAAGTCAAGTGGATATGAAAGATCCCATGGCACCATTCAAAAAGAGAATGGAATTTCTCCCAGATTCTTGGCTAACAATCTGTCAGATAAAATTGGTCATTCACTTCATGGCTGTTTATGTGATATTACTTCATGCAAATTGGCTGCCATATTCACCTACATATATAGTAACTACATTTCACACTAAAATCCTGAAAAGTGCTTTGATAGGTCTCAGAGATGGGATAAGGCTCTACATCAAAAGCTAGGATTGTTAATATCATGAGTCTCCTTGGGAGAGCTAAATTCTGAATTTGATTTGCAAAATAGCTTCTTCAGCACTTATAATTGGAGAAGTTTTTTTCCAGAAAAATGAATGTAATCAAAGTAGAAATAAAACTCTGAATAAAGAGCTATCCAGATACTAATGAAAATGTAAACATTTACACTCATATTTTGTAAATAGAGAAAATAACACAAGGGAAGCAATGCCACAAAAAAAATTAAATATAACTTTTGCATTAAATTGCATTCTACCTAGTGATTTATTCAAAAGGTCAGAAGTGAATTATTAAAAAGGTTGTTTATTATTGTAAAATACTGTTTAATTAAATTGAGCCGAATTGCAGAACTTCTATAAGTGTAATAAACGGTACTACCTGCCGCATTTTACCCACAAATACTCAGTGAATCCACATTACAATATATCTCGTGAAATACGTTGAGACATCTCAAGGGTGTGATGAGGCATTATAATCAAATTCAAACATTTTTTATTATTATTATTACAGCTGTAGTCTCTTGTGTCATAAATTCATTGTTGCTCTATGAACTTTAATCAAAAGACAGCCCATGGCCAATGTGATTAAAAATAATCACGTAGGCAACATGCACTGATCAGCCTGAAATAGATCTTATTGTATGTCAGCCTGGCTCAGTGGTAGCACTCTTCCCTCTGAGTCAGAAGGTTGTGGGTTCAAGCCCCACGTTGGGATTTGGAATCACATAGTCTAAGACAACACTCCAGTGCAGTGCTGGGGATGTGCTGCAATGTAAGAGGTGCTATCCCTCGGACGAGACGTTCAACCAAGGTCCCGTCTGCCCATTCAAGTGGATGTTAAAGATCGCATTGGCACTATTTGAAAAGAAAAGGCAGTTTTGTCCGGAATACTGGCCAACAATCCCCCAAATAAAATTGGTCACTCACTTCAGTGCCGTTTATGAGACATTGCTGTGCACAAACTGCCTGTTGTATTTTGCCCACTCAGTCAATCCACTTTACAGTATATCCTGTGAAGCGCTTTGAGACGTCTTAATGACATAAGGCGCTATATGAAATGCAAGGATGATTTACTATTATTGCAGCTATCGTCTCTTGTTTCATAAATTCATTACTGCTCTATGAACTTTAATCAGAGTCAGCCCATGGCTGAAGTGATTAAAATAATCAGGTGGGCAACATGCCTGAAGTAGATAATCATGATATAAAGAAACCAATTTACACCTCAGTAGTTCAATGAGAGAGATTGCGCATTGTTCATTCATCCAGGAGTTTTGAGCCATGCTAGATTCAAATAACATCAGAAGAAGAAACATATGTAGGTAGACGATACACAATTGCAAGAGATTCAATGCCTGTTTTCATTAGAGTTCTCAAGCCAAGAGAATTATGGTTGCTGCCTATGAATTTTGATATTGTCACCATGGTGACATAATATAAGTGAGCAATTATTAATTTATACATTAAATGGAATTATCATTGTCTTAAATTTATAAACAGTTCAATTTCATGAAATAAATGAATTGAAATGTCAGTTGGACAAGCAAAAATAATACTTAACTAGCACAATCACATAATAACTCACCTATCTTTGACATCTTTCAGTGCATTCTCAGATCGTTTTCCTTGCAGGTTTCCAGAAATGCATGGCTTTTCCCACTTTCCTTTTTCACTGTCCCCATCCTGTCCTTTCTCCTTTCGTTTGTCTGAGTCATGTTCCTCCTCCTTATCAACCTTCTTCAATAACTGAATATCACAATGTAGCTTGATTACGTAAGAAGCAGATAAACAATAAATCTGTCTTACCGCAACTAAATTTGCAGCTAAATTTATCATTGTAACAAAATCACGAGCGGTTTGAAGGAAGAATACCCATTTGATTTTATCCTGCCATCTTCGCATCACAGTACAACTCTGTTCCTGGCTCCAACCAAGGAAGACAAAGGAGAAAATGGGGTTGCAATACCCGCCTTTGTTTTGCATCATTAACAACTCTTTAACTCATCAGCCCCTGTCCTCTACCCCATTTTCTCCTTTGTCTTCCTTGCCCTGCCTCCCCCCTTTCTGTTAGCCCTTAAAAACCTCTCCCTCCCAACATGCCCCAGTTCTGCTGAAGGGTCATGGACCCGAAACGTTGACTCACTTTCCTTTCTCCATAGATGCTGCCTGACCTGCTGAGTGTTCCCAGCGACTTCTGTTTTTGTTTTCAGTGATAAAGAAACACTTCCTGGTGCCTGGCCTAAAGTTGAGTATGACTTCTGGGGATCTGAACTCAACTGATTTGGCAATATAGCCCAGGATCCCGTTTGTCTTGTTTATTGCAGCCTCACACTCTTTTGACCTGGTGATCGATGAGTCAATTATCATCCATTGATAGCTTTCTGCCTCCTACAAGTTCAAGATTCTCATCCTCACTTTTAAACTTCTCCAAAGTCTTGCTTCTCCATACCTCTGCCCCTACTAAAACTTTACCAACCTGTCTGATCCATCAGCTCGATGGGCACTGGTCTGCTCCATACCCCTCACACTGCCCCCTCTACCATCATTGGTTGGGCCTTCCGCCTTTCTGCCTCCATCCTCTGAAACTCCTTCCCAGAGCCCCTCCGTCTCACCCCTCCCCTGCCTCCTTCAAGGCCCATCTCAAGACATTCCTCTTGACCATGTCTTCAGTCATCTTCTCACCCCCCATCCTTCCTGATTCCAACCCCCAGTTCAGTTGCAAACCCTTGACTTGGGACATCCTCCCGACGTGAAAGATGACATAACGTGTAGGAGCAGGAGTAGGCCATTTGGCCCTTCGAGCCTGCCCCGCTATTCAATCATGGCTGATCTTCTAATCTAACTCCAGCTAATAACCTGACCCTGCCTTATCCCCATATCCCTTAATCCCTTTTGCAATAAGAAATCTGTTATATAAATGTAATTTTTTGTTGTATATAAATGCAATTTCTTGATGTTTTTTATTTCCTAATTATTACACCAGGTCTATATCCTATTAAGCTCTCTTTGTAAGACCTTTGCTGCCTCATTTAGAGTTCCCTCCAATTTGATGTCATCTGTAAATTTAATTAACTTACATTTGATCTGTGAATCCAGGTCATTAAGAATCAAGAGAGGTTCTAAGGGTTTGCAACCGAGCTGGGGGTGGAGGGCAAGGGGGGATAGGGGTGGAAATATGACTGAAGGCACGCAAATCAAAGTGGAAGATCTGAGGCACCCTGTTTATTATACCTGCCCCCCATTTTGAGCTTGTTCTTCAAACAACCATCTGCATCCTTCCTTTCAGCCAATTTTGAGTCTAGTACATGTCTTTTCCTTGTTACCCAGTGACATCAGTTTGTGAAGGAGTCTTTTGCATGGTACACGGTCAAACTTCTTTTCGACATCTAGGTACACTATGTCATATGGCTTCCCACAATCAGTTTGGGAGTTCATATTAAAAGGAAAAGTTCCTGATGAAATTGACTGAACAGTATCAAATTGTTAAGGAGGTATTAACTGTAATGTCTCACCATTTGAAATACACATATGGAAAAGTATATTCTAATGAACTACTCAATAATTTTCAGAAAGGGAAATGCAGGCAACCTTGTTATAATTCATAAGAAGTTGTTGCATGAGCTTGAGATTACACAATGCCACCGCTCAGAGGCTTAAAATCTCGCATGCACACGGAAAGATTAATTTTTACCTGTAGCTCCAAGGTCATTTTTATAGGTAGATATATAGAGAGAAAGTTAACAGAGACTCAGAAAGAGATAGAAACAGAGGGATCGAAAAAGTTAGAATGAGTCAGAGAGTCAGAGAAAAAGAGGGAGAGAGAGACTTGAGACGGAGCAGGGCTCGCACAGTATGATACCACAGGAACTATAGATCATGATGGAACTATTTTTAGTTAGCACTGAAGGTAATTTTGTGTGACATCCAATTATCTACAGTGTTTGGTTGTTCTCAATGGGACCAGTCCCCATTGGTGTGGACAATCGTCTCTCTATGTAATTGTTATTAGCTATTTAGAAGTTAAGATAATGACAAAAACAATCATGGAACTTTCGCTGATCAAGAAACACAATCTTCAACCTGATCAACCACCTAAATTTACTGCTCTTCATAGGTTAGATTGTTTTACATGTCACAAAACATTTCATATTAAAAGCTAATAAACTAAATGCATCGTGGAGAGACATACCTTAATTTTTATTTCTTCCTTTCTTTCCTTTTCAGCTATCTTTTTCTGCTTCTCTGCTTCTTTTCTTTTACGTCTTTCTTCTTCTCTACGCTTTCTTTTTTCCTCCTCCCTTAGACGCTTTTTCTCCAACTCTCTTCTCCTTCTTTCTTCTCTTTTCTCTTCTCTAAGTCGCTGAAACATTACAAATGTAATTGAAGATGTCAATTATAATCATCTTCAAACAATTAATATATTTATTATAAGTGAAACTTAAAAGAAAAATCCCACCTGCTTTTCCAGTTTCTTGTTTTTAATATACTCCAGAAGGGGTGTAGTTCTCCTGGCTATAAGCAAGATAGTAATTAAATTCAGCTTTCTAAACCCTGGTTCAATAAAATTAAAAAACACCCCTCTAAATTGAAAAATGGTAATGTAGATTAAAATAATTTCCTTTCAATAACATAACATAAGACAGACAAAGACAGAGAGACAACTACAGACAGAGACAGGATACAGCAAGCATCAATGGCACAATTTAAGGGACCTGGTTTAGAATAAATGCTTAGCCCGATTGTGTGAGGGAGATTAATTCAACTACAAGGCCATTCACGGCCTTGCTCCCTCCTACCTCTCCAACCTACTATCCCCCTACCTACCTGCCCGTACCCTCCGTTCCTCCGGCTCCGGTCTGCTCCACATCCCCCGCCCCAATCGCCCTACCATCGGTGGTCGGGCCTTCAGCCTCTCAGCCCCCAGGCTCTGGAACTCTATCCCCCAGTGCCTTCGCCTTGCTTCCTCCCTCTCCTCCTTCAAGGCCGGTCTCAAAACCTTTCTCTTTGACCGAGCCTTCAGCTCCCCTCTCGACTCTCTTCCCCCTCCTCGCTCCCTCCCTTCCCTCCCCTCACCCTGACCATTTCCCCCTTGCTCGGGTCATGACCCAACTGTGCAGCGCCTTGGGACGTCCTCCTGACGTGAAAGGCGCTTTATAAATGGAATCTTGTTGTTGTTGTTGTTGTTGACAGGCATGACTCAAATTACAGATCAGATTGTCTTTATTGCAAATTAGCAGAGGATCAAGGGGTGTGCAATGGGCTCCCAAGCAGCTGACTTGGTGGAGACATTGCCCAGTGTGAACCAACCATATCAATCTAAAAGATTAGGCAGAGCAGCAAAAGGCATTACAATTGTTTTCAGTGCTCCTGGGTGAGGGACGAAGGGAAAGAGAAAGTGAAAAATATCAGCCAGGGTTCCTGCTCCATTTACTATCCAGTAATCTCTGCTGAAAATACATGTCAGGTGAGGACTTGATTGGGCTTAATAATAATAATAATCCTTGCATTTGATATAGCGCTTTTCACGTCTTATAGACGTCCCAAAGTGCTTCACAGAATATACTGTAAAGTGAATTGACTGTATATTTGTGGGCGAACGCGGCAGCCAATTGCACACAGCAATGTCCCACAAACAGTCGTGGATTGAAAATGACCAATTTATTATTGTTATTTTTTGGAGGGGTTATTAATAGGCATGTGGAGTAAGGAACCTTGCCAAAGGTTTTGCCCTGCCTGGAATTAAACTCAGGTCTCTCACTTGCAAAGCGAGTGCTCTAACCACTGAGCTACAGGACTCCACACACTTGTTTATGATGTTCATTGTTGGATAGATTGCAACACTCAAGGCTAGCTGATCCACAAATGACAAATGGCTATTTGGACAAAATACAGAAAGGTGGAACAGTACCGCAGCATGAGTTAGCCCCTTCAGGAGAGGAGTGGAAATTGGAAGCGGAAACAAGAAAAAAGAAACAACACAATCATTAAAGTAACCAGCCAGGAAGGACAGATTACAGCTAAAGTCACAGGAAAGTAAGTTAAACTGTTCAATATTTATGCTGGCAAATCTACAGCAGACAGTAATGACAAATTAGGTGTTTAAATGAACAATTAAGAGACTGGTAATGTACAAAGGTCAGAACCAATGTTCTGATTGCCAACTATACAAACACGACAAAGACAATTATCTTTATTAGTATCCATTATTCAGAAAATACCATTTACAAAAATTATGGCCTCAATACCCTTTCTACGAGTAGTAAGAAATTCAATGAAAAGAGCAGCGATTTTTCGGTTTGAAAAGCGCTCATTGGAATACAGCAACAGGAATGCCACCTTGATGCCAGATAAAACACTTAATAATAATAACACTTGGAACCATCAAGTGCAACTCCAGCAGAGAACCTCACGCATGTCATACCAACCCTCAGGAATCTAGGCTCTGATATGATCTGTGATCAGTCACTCCGCCTTGCCCCCTCCTTATCCTCCTTCAAGTCCCATCTCAAGACCCTCCTCTTCGACCATGCCATCGGCCACCCCCCTCCGTTTCCCCACCCCGACCCCAGCTCGGGTCTGAAATGCTGTACTCTGTCCAGCGCCTTGAGACGTCCTCCCGACGTGAAAGGTGCTATACAAATGTAATGTTGTTGTTGTGATCAGAGATGAGTTGTTGTGAATCAGAATCATGTACATAAGTTTCCCTGCAAGAGTTATAATTGTTTTTGAGGCATCATTTCCTCTGTAGATTTCTGACCCGTGTCTTGTGGGCCTCATTGTATTAGAAATTATGGACCAGCAAAGGACATTTGGTCTGTCACCTGTCACGTTTACCCAGTTTTTGTACAACACTTTGCCTCAATTTTGTATATGTTAATGTACTTATTATATATTATATATATTGTAGATGTAGATAATATATTCATAGTTCGTGTATTTAAAGATGCCTGTGCCTTTAAGTGGATTTGTGATTTAAAAACTGCAAATCATTTTTATTTAAAATATCAAAAGCAGCCTTGGCGACAAAGTCTGTGACCTGGGTGAGTGGTTGCAACATTTCACAGGAAAAAGTCTACGTGGGTTCTTAGCAAGGGAAAAAGTATTGAGAGGATATATTAGAAACGGGAGGGGTTAGTTTTGTATAAAAGGTGGGAGGCTGGTGGGACTTGTGGTCCCAAGCCTTGTTTGACATCAAGGAGGTACGTGCCTGACTTGGGAGGGGTTCCTCCAGGTCAAGATTGTTTTTTCTTTGTACTAATTATAGATAAATGCTGCTAGTTTCATAGTGATAGTGTTAGGATTGTCTATTTCATTAATGTTGCGCCTGTTATACTTACAGTTAGTGTAAGTAGACATAGGTTTGTTTAGGGCTAATAAAATACCGTTGTGTTTTCTTAAGAGTGTCTCTCGAGTCTGTGTAGATTCTTAAAAGAGGTAATACACAAAACAGGTTGCAGCTTGATTCAGTGATCTAGTAGTGCGATAGGACGCTCGTGAAACCATCTCAATTGGGAAGACCTGTCATCGTGTAGATCTAATTAGTGAAGTTTCACAAGAAGAGGCAGCTTGCACGAACAGAGATAGGACTGACACAGTGGCCACCTAGTACACTGTGTGTTACTAAGCTTTGCGGGTTACATTTAGGGGTGAGAAGCGTCGCACATCCCTGTACCTGTATACTTTGTTCTAATTTCTTTGTGAGATTACATAATAGATTTTAGGCAGTTGTCAGGTGACACTTGGGACCAGAAAACTCAAGAGTTTGAAGCCGGGTGAGTCCATTATGCCTTTTTGATGTTAATCAAATTGGATAACTGAGGGTGAGAGAACTGGCTTTAAGGAAATAAACCTGACAAAGCCAGCCAGGTTTGTAGAATCCCAAATATAGATATGTTCCCAACCCTGCAAGTGAAAGCTGAAACGGTCCTAATTAGACAACTACAGGAGAGCCCTGTTGTAACGCAGTATTTGGGGTATGTAAATTACCAACCAGCATTATATTGGGGCATGTCTCTGATCAGCATTTCCAAATTCACTGCACATGCGGGCAGAAATCCGACTGGCTTCTCACATGGTGAATACTGACATCACTTCATGTGCGCTGTGTGCAGGAAGTGATATTGGGAGCAACCTGATGACCTATGAATCAGTATTTTGTAGCGCACAAGAATCCAGCTGGGGTTCTGAAGCTTTTCTGCCCACAATTTAGATTTTATTGGTAAGTAAATATCGGGGTCCACATCCCAATCACACAAAAGTGAACTTAAGTTATAATAATAATTATCATTTCACTTGCTATAGCACTATTCACATTAGAAGGACGTCTTACATACACCACTTCACAGAATTTTACTATAACATGTAGGACTGTGTATTTTGTATGTGAATGGAGCAACCATAGCAATGTTCCACAACAGCCAGGATGTGAATCACCAATTTAATCTGGGGGATTGTTGGGCAGGACAGTGGGAGAAACTCCCTTTTCTTTTCAAATAGTGCCGCAAGATCTTTAACATCCATCTGAATAGGTGGATGGGATTTAGGTCTCATCTGATATAAACAAGCATGCTATAATTGTTCCATTAGGGATTAAGGGATATGGGGATAAGGCAGGGTTAGGTTATTAGCTGGAGTTAGATAAGAAGATCAGCCATGATTGAATGACGGGGTAGGCTCGAAGGGCTGAATGGTCTACTTCTGCTCCTACATGTTATGTTATTGTAGTATGCAATTTTCATGATAAAATTGAGTTTCAATAGCTACATTTGATAAAGTGTTATAAATCCTAATAACTGATGTGCCAATCAAACCACAGAAAAGTGGCACACAAACCAGAAGAGATAACATCTAGTCTGATCACTAAAGAGTTACAACAGGAAAATAACATAATTAGGAAGAAAACCTTTATCTTTAGCAAGATAAAAAGGTCAACATAAGGTCTATGATGTGGACAAAATGCAATTGATAAAGTAATTTCAAACTTGGTCTCCTGTGACAGGACCAGTGTCTGGAAAATGGTACGAGTCCAAGGCATGTAATATATAAAATAATATATAAAAACACGTATTTGTTTACAATCCCATTTGATCAACCAGCGTCACTGAGTTGCTTGTAGAAACAACTTTTTTTCTGAGCAAATAATGAAAATCAACACAGCATTGATGCTTGAATAAAAAAAATGCAAATTTTTGAAACTCCATAGCAGGTAAAACAGCATTAGAAAGAAAACCATTAACCCAGCTTACTTTTTCAGATGTTGATCAACCTTCTGTGCAGTTTTCAAACATTTTCTGTATTTATTTTAGATTTTATATATTTCAGTCTTTTTGATTTTTACAGTATTAATGTGTTTTACCTAAGCTGACTACAAACATTTGCAAAACTCACAGGCAAAACAGTTTATGCTAGTTATATGTACATGTAGAAATGAACACAAGAGTTCTTTACTATCAACAAGAACCAATATTTCCTGGTTATCAAACTGGTATATCCAGATTACCTATATATCCAACTGATCCTTGAAGAAAATTGTGGACATAATGTGATTTAATATGACATCTTCCACCACATGGGCCAATAACGTAACCATAAAAGGAAAGGATTTTTTTTTGAAAAAAGATTCTTAGAAAAAATGTAATATAAAAATCACCATCAGACTGACCAATAAGTTCTCTGGTCTTTGCCTCTATCTCTCCTAGTAGTGTCTCCGGGTTGGCTGTAACTTTTTCTTCATCTGCACAGTAAGTTTCCAAAAAATTCTTGTACTCAGGATCTATAGTATATTTAAAACAAAATTTCATTCAGCTATGTAACAAACATAATTCATTTAGATCAGATATAATTGTGTAATAGAATCCTATGTGTCCCTCAAACACTCTGGATATACATTTAAAGGAAGTTACAATCCTTTTAGCTTGTAAATTTCAGCAATTTACTTACCAATAAAATCTTCTCTCATGTTCTAAACAAAGTTCTGTTGTGAGTTTTCTCCCTCAGCCTGTGTTTTTCACATTAGGATTCTGGAATAAGCAAGTGGGATGAATTTCTATTTATTCCACCCGTTCATCCAGTTCCTCAGAGTGAGTCCATTTTTACCAATAGCAGACAGGAGAAGTGACACGGTGCACATTTGAACCACCAATATATAGTGCCATGGACTGGTGGACCAAGGTTCAAGCTCACATGTTTTTGAGTTTCTGATTAGTCACACTGCTATGCGACTGGGGCACCACCAGACAGGGGAGAAAGGGTAATTAGATATATAGTCTTCACCAGGCAGGTTTTGTATGTTTCTGGCTAGTTCTAGTGGTAATCTTAGAGCATGATGCTCATCCTGCCGCTCAGATGTAAAAGGGTTGAGGGGCAGTAACAAATTACAAAGAAGGTAAGTAACAAGCAGCCAGACAAGACAGTTTACAGCAGTTATGTTTTTTTAATGCGATCTTCAAGTCTACAGGAGATGTTAAACGGGAAAAACACAAAGTAAATGTTAGTGTTATTAGGCATTTATTTAGAGAGTCTCATCAACGTAAATCCCTCTCCCTCCCAATTTTTACATTTTTTCTTTTTGTGGCTACATGACAGAACCATGTGAAAATCTATTTTCTTCAGGACAATAATAATTAGGAGCAAGAAGACTTGCAAGTAAAATAGTTTTAAAGTTACTGTTGTTGGTGAAAATAAGGAATAGACAAGTTAGGTTAGACAGTTAAATCTAAGTGAGGTTAGATTTATTGAAGCTAAAAGTGACAATAGGAATTGAGAATGAGAATTGAGAAAGAATAGCAAGAAAAAAAGTAAGACAAATTGAATAGATTAAAATGTTTAAATTGAAAATGTATTTCATTTTATTATTTTACTTCTGGGTTAGTGTTACATAAATAAAGCTATTCCTTCTATTTGAGTAGTTTATTTCAAGTTCATAGTGAGCTGTAAAATATCAGGAAGATGAATGTTTCTCTGAATCTATCAGCGAACTAGAGTGAGGTATGGTCTTGACAATGCTGTGCTACTTTCAGCTTGTACTTATTCATGGTAATTACCTTCTTCAATGCTCCCAGTTTTTGTATCTTTCTTCTTCAGTTTTCTTTTAGAAATTTTCTGAAATGGAGCAAATTCCACCACAGCTGGATATTCCTGACCTGGAGATGTAAAGTCGCAGAAACACAATTAAGTTATTCTGTACAGATAATCCAATTTATTCTGCATGAATAAAATGATGAAGAACGAGCGTGACAGAAATCAGCAAAATCTGAATTGTTTGCACATGCAATCATTGACAATAGATATTTATCATACTTCAATGGAGTTAGCGGGGGAGCTTGAAAAAACATTGTAGAAAATAAATAATAACTCTTGTATTTGAAAGTATCCATGTCAGGACGACAACTCAAAGCGCTTAACTGGATTTATTGTAACGTGTAGAGACTGTATTTTGTAGACAAACTTGGCAGCCAATTTGCATACAGCAATGACCCACAATCTGCCACGAATACATTTTCCTGGGGGATTGTTCGCTCAAATTTCAGGAGAAACTCCCTCCTCTTTTTAATAGTGTCACGGGATCTTTAATGTCCACCTGAACAGGCAGATGGGACCTCAGTTTAACATCTCATCCGAAAAACAGCATCAGGTCTGGTTATACAGAGGGTGAGATGATCTCAAGAAGCTTCACAGATGATTACAGTCAAGTATAGGTTATTAGAGCCTATTTATTGGAGGTACGGTGGTCCCATGTAAACCACTAAAAAGGTCTTAATTTTGCACAAAGGTTTACAGCAGATTCTTTATGAATCAGAAACTGTGTCATTTTTCCACCATCAGCAAGAATGCCAACAGCCCTTTTGAAGCCAGTAAATAAGATATTGCCTTGCTGGCGAATCAAACGAACTTCAAACAAACATAGCCATGCCAGAATGCAAACAGGTAGAACAAACAAATTACTAAAGGTAACAGTTAGATGTCAACAATAATTATATAGAAAATATTGAAAAATTACATGATAAAGTAGTTACAATATTGAAATCTCTTCTTGCCATTATTGTGTTATAAAGTGTGTTTCCACTTCCTACCCACCCTCTCTGTTGTGCATATTCACAAGCCTACCCACAGTACATCGCATTCATGTGTGAGATGGAAAGAGAGCGGGACCCATGATGGAAATTTCCTCAGGATAGAGGGGCGAGGAAGAGGTCAATGGCTTTATCTCCTCACACCCTCCACTAATCTGATTTAGGGCAGCTGCACCTCAAGACACCCTGTTCTGAAGGTGCCTTGCTGTGCTGACACTCTTCCCGCCCTCTTTACTTCTCACCTCTCCAGTTCTTGTTGTTCCCCTATGTGCTGTTTCATCATCTACTTTGTCCTCTGAGATATCATACTGTGAGTTGTGTTGTTGTACTGCTTGCTAGGGAGTATTGTCATGCAGAGGCAAGGGTTTTTGGAAAGAGGAGGAGGAAAGTGTCAGCCAGCCATTATTCCCCCAGCAATCCTCTTTCCTCATCCCTGCTCCACTGCATCTTCTTCATCACCTTTCACTTCATTCTCCACGTAATGAAGTTGATGATATCCCCCTTGAAGATGTAACTCCAACTTTGTGTTGCTGATCATACTGAGATGCAACTGAAAGGGTTCTTCGCAAACGGGAGATGGCAGGGAGGCTGAAAGAAACAATGAGAAGCACATGGATAACTTTCACGACGAGGTAGTCTATTACTACATGGAAATGAGGCACATGTCTACAACGTTAAGCTAAATGATCATTAAAAACATTGTACCTGGCCAGCCACAGCTGTTAGTAAACACGCCAAGGTGCTGCCCTGTGTAGAGGGTGCTATATAAATGCAAGTTGTTGTTGTTATTGTTGTAGTACCAGTGAAGATAATAATCATTTCCATCATCAGCAGCTCATATCTGCGGGGGTCCTCCACTTGCATTGGCTAAAGTTGTGCAGAATCTTCCTCTGAGAAAACATGCACACTCATTAATTTCTCCATTGTGCTGGTCCCCAATTTTTAGGGCACATGCAAGTTGTGGGTGTAGTTTAACCAAATACCTAAACATCATCACATTCCGTTCATCTTACCTTTTCACTAGCCTTCATCTCATTGTCTTCAGGTAATGACAAGTTTGAACTGGGATAATTCAGTTGGTGCACAACTTCCAGCCATCCATTCCTCCTTCATCTGCTCTGGGCAAAGTTGCCAGTCACCCTCAAAATATTTCTTTTCCTGCTCTTGACTGCCACTGAACATGGCTAGTTGGCTGCTTTCCACACCCTTGCCCATGTATCCATTTTCCATTGAATCCATGTATATATGGAGATATCCAGTAGACATATCCAGGCAGCAATCACCCTTTGTGCTTGTTGAACTGGGGTTACAGAATCTTTATGAAAACACCTGCGGCCCACCATCATATTTTGACTGCCAGAGATAGCCACTGTAAAACTGCAATTTTCGAGTGGTAATTTTTTAGTTTAAAAAAGGACCATTACCAACACCCTTTACTCAAATGCTGTATGGCTAACAGAATTGCAGCCCCCTTTATTCGTTATTTCAAAATGTCTCATCTTAGCCTCAACTAAGACTTTTCTGTATTAAATTTCATCTGCCATCTAGCCATTACTTTGTCTTGGTGACATAATATGATCCTTTCGTACTTGCACCAGCAAAGTTCTACAAGAAGTCAAGAACAATTTTAATTGTATCTGTAGCATTTTTGTCCAGGACTCCGAGAGAAATTAGTTTCTCATTTCAAAGAGCATTAGTGGACCTCCAATGTTCACCTTAACTAAATCACCTTCAGCTGGCAGAGCTTGGAGGTGCAAACCAGGTTGTGAGGTAGAGATAATAATAATCCTTACACTTGGTATAGCCCCTTTCTTGTCAGAAGAATGTCCCAAAGCAATTCACAGGATATACTGTAAAGTGCAGTAACTGTGCTTGTGAGTGAACGTGGCAGCCAATTTGCATACAGTGACAATCCTCACAAACAGTCATGAAGTGAAATATAAGAACGTATTAAATGCAAATAATTCAAAATACTTTACATTATTAGCTACTTTGCTTTGAAATTTAGTGACAATTAAAGGCAAATGTTGCAGCTGATCTGTAACAGTAAGGATCAAAAACAATAATGAAATCAACGACCACATACCTTTTTTGGGGGAGGGTAAGAGAATTTGGATTAGGGAGGAATACTGGCCAGGATATTGAGAGAGCTTCTGTAGTATTTCAAAATAATGTCATGCGATCTTTTAACGTCTGCCACAATAGGCAGATGGGACCTTGGGTCTTGACTGTCATAAGTGTAGAAAAATGCACACAGCGAATGTATGGTAGCCAAAACTGTGCATAACTGTGTATAAACATGAAAGATCTCACAGTGCCTTTCGCTATAAACTCTCAAACTGCCTGAGAAATAATCTGGCACTTTTGCAAACATTAATCATTGTGAGCTAGAAACTGGAATAAATTTTCCTGGCCAGCACCTCGGGACGTCCTCCCGACGTGAAAGGCGCTCTATAAATGAAATCTTGTTGTTGTTTGTAATTTAAGTAGATTAAATAAATAAACAAACAAACAAATAGAAAGAAAAGGAATGATACAGAATAAAATAATATGAATACTAGCTTTGACAGTGCTTTGGGTTTCATAATCCCTGACTGTCCAGCGCCTTGGGACGTCCTTCCGATGTGAAAGGCGCTATACAAATGTAATTTGTTGCTCACAATGGGAAGCCATGTAATTTTAACTGGTTAAACAGGCATTGCCCCAACTCACACTCTGGGTTTCCCAAGTTTTGGCTCTTGCCAACCAGTGCCTAATACTTTCTGGAATTAGGCAAGCAAGATGTGTCCTTCTAGAGAGAGAATGCACACTTTGTTCCAGGTGTGGAAATCTCAGCCTGGTTTAGATACTCTAAAGCTTAGTGAAGAGTTTCCTCATTGTCACCAAAAAAAATACACCCTCCACCTTTTTAAATTTGCTATGTTGCTAGTTTCTCCCTCCATCAAAGTCACTATTAGTAGCTGAGCCTTTAGCCAATTTGGTCCTACTCTCTGAAACTATCTTCCGAAAATTGTTTTGCCCCACTTCTCTCCTTGCCTTCAAAACATATCCCTTTTACCATGCATTTGGTTCCCATGCTGAATTCTTCATTCTAGGTGCCGCAAACATAACTTTTAAGCGTTTTGAGATATCATCCGACTGAAAAAGTTATTACTATTCACAAGATCATTTGTCACAGTGTACTGACAGCAGAAAAGTGTAATTTCTTGCCAATTTCTATGCAGAAACAAATGCAATTTGGATTTGGAAACAAATGCCTAACATAATGATGCTAAAACTGTAAGTTTTGAGTTTGCACAATAAATGGAAGTTGCATGGAATGCAGAAAATCTGTCATTTCTTAATAGATAAGAGTGGGGTCTCACACAGAAAATAGTAAAACTGAATTGACAAGTGATAACATTATTTATAAGAATGCAACGCATGCTTTGAATTACCCTTATTATCAATGAAGACATATCCATCAAATCGGTCTCTGAAGAGAATTATGTCATCAGGATTTTTAAAATTGATGTAGGCTCTACAGAAGAGGTGGGGATGAAGGCTGAAAGAAATAAAAAAGATTGTAGCTCAAAATATCACATATACTAAGCCTACAAATATACAGAATAAAACTCTTATTAAAAAAAGCTGATAACAAAATGGACGTAGAACATAATTATGCTCTTGAATCATGCTATGATAAAATTCCACGAAAGCCAGTCAGATTGTTAACTATCATATATTTTAAGTGCTTTGAAATGTTTTCTTCAATAAGTCATCATGAACCCTGGCACGTACTTTAGCTCAGCTTCACTCTAGGAAATTACGAACAAAATAAACATCGGAATTTTCTTCATTTTCAAATGGGGTTATTGAGTCCATCATTTCTATGCCAGAATGGAACCATGCAGCATAAATCTCTAAATTACTATATAGGATTTCAGGAAATTTTAGTGATTCAGCACAATTGTATGCAGGGCCAGATTAAGCTTGAGGGGGCCCGAGACTATTATAGTTTTGGGGGCATCTCTTTGCCTGTTCAATTCCTTCCCTTTACTGTTTTACCACCACCCGTGCCCACGACGATGCCAAACACTCTATTGTCAATATAGCTTGACGGAGACACATCTACACCCAGACACACAACAACAAAATTACATTTGTATAGCACCTTTCACATCGGGAGGATGTCCCAAGGAGCTGGGCAATCAGTGTTTCGGACCCGAGCTGGGGGTCCGGATCAGGGAAGATGAAGGGTGGTGCGGGAAAGAGGGTGATCGAAGGCAAGGTCGAAGAGAAGGGTCTTGAGTTCAAGAGGGTGGGGGCAGAGTGGCAGAAGGCCCGCCCCCGAGGCAGGGGATCTGAAGCAGGCCAGAGCCCGGGAGCGGAGGGAGCAGGCAGGATGGTGTGGGATTAGAAGGTCGCAGAGGTAGGGGGTAGCAAGGCGATGAAGGGCTATAAAATGAGGACCAGGATTTTGAACTGTATCCTCTGTGTGATGGGAAGCCAGTGGAGTCAGGCGAGGATGGGTTGATAGAATCACGGAGCCTGTTGCGGGAAAGGACAAAGGCTGCAGAGTTCTGGATGATCTGCAACCTATGGAGAGAGGAGTTGGGGAATTCGACAAGAAGAGAGTTTGCGTAGTCAAGCCTGGATGTTATGAATGAGGGTCTCAGTGGCCTGCGATATGAGACGGTGGCAAGCCGGGTGATGTTGAGGAGGCAGGGGAAGGCAGAGCAGGACATGACATGGGGTAGGAAGGATGGTTGAGGGTCAAACAAGACATATGCACAGGCAGACACACACAAATAGACAGAAAAGAGACATGTACACAGACAATCTTACAGGGGCTCAGTGGGGTCCCATTCCGAGATCCCTGTGGCGCAATTTTCTATTGGCTGATTTTTGTGCATTCGCGAGAAGCTGAAAACATGGCTCCTTGCACATGCACAACAGTGCTCTGACCTCCAGAGAAATCTGGATCTGTCCAGAGGTCAGAATTGCTGCAGAGACTGTACAGGGCTCCCTGACCCTGGTGTCACAGTCACTCGCTCTATTTGGTGGCCCTTCAAAATCCAGGTCCCGGGGCTGCAGCCACTAAAGCACTTGCGTTAATCAGGCTTTGATCGAATTATATAGAAATTTACAGCAAGGAAATTTTAGCCCACTGTGCTTGTGCTGGCTCTCTGAATATCCACTTAGTCTCATTCTCATATCTTTTCCCATACCTTTTTATATTTCCTCTTTTCAGATATTAATTTCATTTCCTTTTAAACGCTAATACAGATTCTGCCTCCACTAGCATTCTACGTAGAGCATTCCATGCCCTAACTAACCCTCTGGAGAGAAAAGTTTTTCTAATCTCTCCTTTGCTCTCTTGGTATTCGCTTTGCATCTATTGCCTCTAGTAGCTGACTCACCCATGTGAGTGGAAATCATTTCTCCCCGTTTGTTATAAAAACCTCAGAATTTTAAAAACATTCATCAGGCTTCTTCTCTACTCTGTATTAGGGAAAACAACCCAAGTTGCTGCAGTAAAACAAAGTAAAACCCTACGCAAAAGAAAACCTTTCATCCCTAGTATCAGTCTAGTGTATCTCTTTGGAACCCACTCCTTACTCATCTAAGGAACATAATTAAATGTATAACCAAGGTATTCATTCCACTGGTAACTTAGATCATAAGAAAGTGTTGTGAAAAGACCATATCTATGTATAATCTTTACCCAAAGCACAGACAGAATTACCAAGAAGAGTTCCACTCAGTGGAACTATTTCCTGATAACTGAAGGTATTACAGAAAACTGATATTCATCACGTATTGGAATACATTTTATTCAACAATAACATTACCATAGTTCTGAGTTTGAATCTCAAACAATTCTCCTGGAATTTTAGATTAAAATGGCAGTCATGTGCTTTTATTTCCATCATTGTACGCCATCAATTCATGATCTCAAATGATACTTTCCAACCATATTATTCAATAACAGAATTACAGAAATAAATTTAGATGTGCTGAACAATTCAAATTGTAGGAAGAACAACTTATTTCTGCCTATCTGCAAGTAAAACAGTTGCAAGTAAATATCATTGAATCATTATTATTACTCCTAATTTAGAAGTTTACTTCTAATTCGGCAGAACTGGCTGGACCACATCAAAACTTACCACTCCACCCTCACCTCCGCTAAATCGTCCTTCTAATCCAAGATAATCTTGGAAGCCAAAGACAACCACAGGCTCCTCTTCTCCACCACCAACTGCTTCTCTGCCCGCCCTCTCAAGTCTCACCCATCTTCTTCTCCAACTCCAACTGCAAGGAGATTCTGGACTTCCTAGAGACCAAAATCGAGGGAATCTGCTCAGCTGTCAACTGCTACCCTCTCGCAATTGCCCCTTCACACCCCAGCCCTACACATCCCTCCCTCTGCATCTTCGAACCTGTCTCCCCC